CTTGATTCATCTATTTCCTCCAACTTCAGACCTATTTTATCTCCAAACATTCCTTCTTTCAAAATACTGGAGAAAATTTTTGATTACAGAATTAAATGCACATTTGGAGAGAAGTAGAGTTCATGGAGCGTTTAAGTTTGTTTTTTTTAAAAGTCTCACAGCAGAGAATCTGTCCTTTAAGGATTTTAACTATATATTTTTTTTTGTTGTGCTCTGTTGTGCATTGTTGTGCTCTTAGACCTCTAGAAGGCCTTTATAACAGCAGCATTTTAATTTATCATCTTGAACATTGTGTTGGCATAAAGGTGTTGCTCTGGAATAGTTTTCTTCTAATCTGGCCGACATAATTTTGTGTCATTCTTAGTGACTTCATGTCTTTCACTGTGTCCCTTTGCTGTGGGATGAAAATTAAAACTTTAATGAAAAGATGTACACATTAACATGTGTACATCTCTCCTGTTAGGGCTACTCTTCACTGGCCTGTGAGATACAGAATTAATTTTAAAACTCTTGTATTTGTTTTTTAAGTCTCAAGTGTCCTTGCCCTACACTATCTCTCTGACTTTATTCAAATATATCATCCTTTCTGGTTTCTATAGTCAGCTGATCCTGGTCGTTCCAAGGTTGAAGCTGAGGCTCAGGGCTTCAGTGTTGTGGAACAGGGTACCCCTGGATGTTATGGCGCCTCTGTTGTCTTCTTTTAAGTCAATTTTAAAGACTCATCTTTTCTCCCTGGCCTTCAACCTAACATTTTTTTTTTTTTGTCCCATGTGACACCTGTGTACCTTGTTTGTTTCTAAAAATGTATTTTCATCATTTCTGTTATTGATATGTGTAGTAGCTTAGTTAACAATCTGCCGTTTTTTAAACATGCTTCACGTGTGGTGTCAAGATCAGGGATCTTGTGGGTATCATATTGTGTCAAGATCAGGGATCTTGTGGTTTGAAAAACAACGTTGGTTGGTCTGGGACCTATAATGACAAAACGGTTGACAGAAGTTGGTAAAGACCTCATAATCATGTAAAGCACTTTGAATTGTCTTTGTACTGAATTGTGCTATACAAATGAATTTGCCTTGCCTTGCCCTCACAAATAAATTGGTTTCTTTGCCTTTTCACTATGAAAGTAAATTTTCATTCTGTTCTGTAATAAGTACGCTAAATCAAATATAGCTGACAGCTAATTGTAGTTTTGTACAGTGAGTATCATGTGCGAAGCAGCCAAAAATAATGAATATATATGCACATATTTGTTATAGTGCAAGCTTACCCACATTTGTGACACATGAGTAACATCAGAAAAAATAGGCAGAATGCAAATGTAGAAAAAAAAGCAAAAAAAGAGTGATTTTTTTAAAATAAAGTATCCACATACAGTAATGTAAAAAAAAATAAAAAATAAAAAAATGACCGTACATGAACCAACAGGGAGGACAGACAAACTCCATGTAGAGATCTTAGGCAGGGATTCAAACCATGGACCTTCTTACTTTTTCTTGTAGAATTTCTGTGTGCTCAGCTTTCATTTGGAATTTTAAACTAAATTTAAGCATCTTTGTTCATCATTATTATTTCCCTCTTGTTTAAAGTATGAATGGTGAAATAATTGAGTCGAAAGAAAATGAATGGAGGGAATTTTAATGTGTTCGATGTAAAAAATTATTTGTTTAAAATTTCACAACTTTAAATAAAATCCTAAGTAACATGGATGGGTGAAAATCTAAAAGCATACAGAAATGTGACTTAAAGAAAGCATTATATAAGACAAAAAGTATTTTTTCTAGAGATTCTTTTTATAGTAATAAACCCCTAAAGCAAATGTAACTTACAGTCTTTCTAAATTTTGGGTTCAGAACTCTTCAAAATTAAAAGGTACCAAAGTTAAATGTGGGCAGGTCTTTACCACTGGAGGGCGTCACTGACCAGAAAGAGAAACTGCTGTAAGAACGAACCAAAGAGAAAATTCATTCTTTATTTAAGTGTCCTGAAATAGAGAGCTAAACCCAGAAAGATTTGGTAGATGCAAACTGTATAATGCGTACTTTGACAAATAAAATAAAAACAACAATATATTTTGTTTGAGTTATTAATGTAAACGTTCAGTGTCAAAGAAATGGCAGCAGAAGTCCCTGGTTATGAGGAAACTGAACCTCTGAGTCTCACCCCGTCACGTGGTTAAAGAAGCCGTAGGTTTCATTTTCGATGACAACCTCTACAGCTAACTTTCACCTGGAAATATATGACGTCTTGAGTCATACTATTTTCTGATTGGTCAGGATCACGGTTACGCCCCTTTTTTTTTTTTTTTTACTTAGATCAGGAAACGCTCTCAGACACTCAGAAGATTATTTCTGAACCCAACAGATGCAGATGGCATTAAAGGATAAAATGATTAAGTTGGTGGTTCTGGTTCTTCTGGGCATAAACAGCGCAGCAGCTGGTATGTTATTGGCACATTTTTTATTTTGTCATAGTGCTATAAATAAATGTACATTTCTGTTAACTTTCAATAATACAGCCTTCGAACCAAGCAATTAGTTAACCTGATGTGTTTTTCAAAATACACCATAAACATTTAAACAGTTAAGTTAAACTATTTCTCCCCTTTCTGTACGTTTTACTCTTCACTTTGCTATATTATAGCCTAAAGCAAACTAGGGAACTTGTAAAAAAACAAACAAACATCCCCCCTAGAAGTATGTTCAATTTTATTAACTCAGCTTCTCATCGGTTTATAGAAAGCTTTGAATTGAAGTACAGGAAATAAACAAAAAATAAAGCCATTTAAAAGTATTAAAAAAGTAATAAACATGATGTGATAAGATCTGATCATTTTTAAATATGTGCATCGTCACAACTCAGGTTGTTAATGAGGCTTTTCTACATAACTATATGAACCATAAATATCTAATGTAGTCTATCCCACATTGTTAAAAGTTTTATGTGGGAAAATCGTAAACATTAATATTTATGGTGAGAAGGAGCTGGGACAGCAAAACATGATGACATCATTGTGTGATTTGTGATAAAACTTACGAGCCTCAGCCAAAACATTTTCGTGGCTCTAACTATAGACTGAATAAATAGCTTTAGCCCCGGATAGCTTTCAGAATGTGATGAGCAAATGTAACCTTTGTGTAAACATTTCTAGATATATAAAACTTTATTCTTGGTAGTAAAATGTTTTTTTTTTACTTTCTGAAATTCAGTTTCTGCTACAAAAATATAATTTAGAAAATTTGTTATTACAGTTCTGACTAGGAAGGTGATTTTTATCAGGAAAAATCTTATTTCAGTGATTTACAACTGCAACAACAGAGAGGAGAGGGCTTTTAATAAATGTTAAAATGGCCTGCTATATACACCTCATATACAGGTAAAAGCCAGTAAATTAGAAAATTTTGAAAAACTTGATTTATATCAGTAATTGCATTCAAAAGGTGTAACTTTCTGATGCATTCATTTGTTGCCACTTCAAATCATCAAAATTAAATGAAATAAACATTTGAATGCGTCAGTCTGTGTGCAATGAATAAATATAATGTACAAGTTACACCTTTTGAATGCAATTACTGAAATAAATCAAGTTTTTCAAAATATTCTAATTTACTGGCTTTTACCTGTAAACTCAAGCATTAACTCAAGCAGCAATCTTCTCCTTCACCATCTTCCTCTCCTTAGCAGCTGTAGTGCTGTTTTCTTGTCTTTTAAATACTTTTTCCATTTTTTTTCAGTTTTGCATGAAAATCTCTAGTTCCAGTGGGGTGTAATTGTCACTTTATGATGTCATGGTAATTCATCAAATTGGGGCTCCACTGATAACGGCTTTTCATACTTGTTGCGTACGTGCTAAACTCTTTATGGACCTACCTAGAGTTGATGGAACTTATTCACAGCATCTTTTATGAAACGGAAAACTCTTGAGTTTCCAACCTTAGGCTAGTTCTAGTCTGAGGATTTGAATTTAGCTAGTTAAACTTACTTTTTGAATCATACCCTTGCTTTGTTGTTAATAACTCTACCTTGTTTTCTTCGGATCTATCACGGTGAAGTAGATTTTCAGTATTTTTTTTCATTCAGTGCTGTTATTTATAGTGGGTGTTCATCAACTGTATGAATTAAATTTGTTGTTAAAAGCCCAAAAATCCTGCCTGAATAATCCAGTCTCCTCCAGATAAATAGAACAGTTGCAAATTTTACCAGCTCTGAACAGAATAGAGTTACAGATTTTTAGGTGCTTCATTCATCTAGTTAATGGCCGTCTGACCAGTGTCATTCTACACAAATCACATTACACAAACAGTAAACTGAACAATTACTACGTCCATATTTGAAAAACAATGGCTACTCTATGGACCACTTAGTGAGATAAAAACTGGAGAACTATTCGTTATTTTGTATGGCCATGGAATTGAACCCTCAACCTGACATATTGTAACCAAGAGCTGTCCAATTTGGATTTATATTGAAAAAAACAACAATAACAATAGTTTTTGCATTACCAGGAAACCTGAGATCAACAATAATATTAAATCTTATTGGAGAGAAAAACCACATTAACCAAAAAAAGCAACTATACCTGCTTTGCTCTCAGTTTAACCACCTGTTGTTAAATATGAACATGTGAAAATATCTAAATGTCAAAAATCAAAAAGTGAAGCAGTTAAAACATCATAAAACCCATTTAAAGAGCTATTAATAAACCATTAGTAAAACAGAGTGAGTGAGTGACATCAAGGTCCTAAATAGAGTTTTGACTAATCAACATATAAAGGACAACAATTAAAACAGAAACACTAATGAAGCTAACTGTTTAACAATAGTTTTATTTATAGTGAACAAACTCTTCAGAAATTATCAAAAAGATTAAAACTTTCAGACTTATTTCAAGGCTAGTGTAATTAATGATGATGGTTTTTGATTTATTTAACTTGTGTGAAGAAAAGGTTTAATTATTCTATCATTTATACATTTTTATTCACATTGTTATTTTTTTCCAGTGACCCACTCCCTGAAGTATTTCCACACGGCATCGTCTCAAGTCCCAAACTTCCCAGAGTTTGTGGCTGTTGGTTTGGTTGATGATCTTCAGATGATTTACTATGACAGCGACATCAAGAAATGTGTTCCTAAACAGGACTGGATGAAGGAGAACACTAATGAGCGGTACTGGGAGATTCAGACTAACATCCTTATGGGTCAGCAGCAGACCTACAAAGCCAACATTGACATTGCAAAGCAGCGCTTCAACCAAACTGGAGGTTTGTGTTCATTTCATCATACACATAGAGAGGAAATGTAGATATTACAGAGCTGTGGATCTATCCAAGTAAAAAAATTAAGCCTGCTAGATGTGACTTGAGATTAGTAAGAAGCCAGCAACTATTTTATGTATTTAATACAATAAATAAATTATCCATAACCAAGATCGAAAGTTCAGCACTTCTATCAGTGATATAAAACATGGTGTGGATCGATGAGATGGTCCCTGTATATTTAACATTCTGCTCATGTTTTTATTTAATTTATTGTCAAGAAAATAATTCTAAGTTATTTGGGCCTAAAGGTCTATATTAGGTACAAATTGTTACCTTGATTAGGAACTAGAGCTGGGCAATTATTTGCATTTGCCATATAATCACAATTTAATAAAATGCAAATTTCAAACTGCAGAGGCTCTTCATTTTGCTTAAATTTTAAAATAGTGAGACATAATTTCTAACTGCAGTCCTTTAATTGGTGATAACATGTTTAAGTTGGATTTGCTGCCACACAGAAAATAAGAGAAAGTTGCAGCTAACACTCAGATCCATGAATGCAAGTAGAAATAAACACTCTATCAAACAAAGGTAACAGGATAGTCCTGCGTCAATGAAATGGAGAAGCAAGCTTTCAAGGCAAAGAAAAAAAAAACTGAAACCGTGAAATAAAGCATCTATAAGCTTGTGGTTAGTGAGAAGGAAAATCTAAATAAAATCCTAATATTGGTTAAAAAAAATTATTTTGGCAGATTCATTCAGCCCTAGTTGGAGCATCACTAATCTTGATTAGTCTATCATATAAAAAGACATTTGATCAGGGTTGTGTTAACTTTTATATCCACAGACTTATTTAGCTTTTTGTTGGTTCAAATCCAGATTAGTCTGTGGATGGAGTTAGGATGAGTAATTAGGGCTTTAGAAAGAGCTGCTATCTGGTCACCTTTCCTTTCCCTGCTGAACTTCCTGAGCCGTTTCTGTCCTTCATCTTCAAATGTTTAAACAACTTTAGGAAAAGTAGGGCTTTAATGAGTTGAAAGTTGACTATTTCATGGTAAAGTTCAAAGCCGAGTAGATGCGTCGTTCTGTTATAAAATCAGATGAAGCTGAAAATGACATACAGTACATCTTGCTGCAGCGATTGTCTTGGTTTTATCAGGTTTGTCTAATCCAGCTTTTATTGCTGTGCTCTACTCAGCCCAAAGCTTATTCTGGAGGGAGATGAGTTTAGAACTGTCCATGTGTGAGTCGATTAAGCCTAATTTATTTGAATTTTCATTGAATGCTTCAATGAGATGATTAGGTTTTATTTAGGGATGCACGATATTGGGATTTTGGCCGATATCCGATATGCCGATATTTTAAAACTCATGTAGCCGATAACCGATATCGATACCGATGTTAAAGCTGGACAAAAATAAGTAGTCATTGAAAATAGCAGTTTTGTTATCCATTTCTGACACTTTGAAAAATAATATACTCAAATATATTTTCATACGCTGATATCAAATTGATTTTTAAAAACGCGGTATCGATCTATTTTACTTTCAAAATCTCGTGAAATTTCATCGTTCTGTTTCAAACTCTCGTGATATTTTGCAAATTCTTGTCAGATTTTGTTAGTAAAATAGATCGATACCGCGTCAATATATCAACATATAAAAATATGGCAAAATTTTGTGAATTTTCGGGGGATTTCGTAGCATAACGATGACATATAGCAATATTTCATTAGTAAAAGAGATTGATATGGTGTTTTTAAATGGCAATATATCAGCATATGAAGATATTGTGATATTTTAATGTATCAATATTTTTTCCCTCGTCTTTAGAAGTTTTTAAGTCTGTAAAAAAGGAAGTTTTTGAGGAAGAAGTAGAAGTAGTATTTTTATTTATTTTTTTTTCAGACTTTAGAAACTCAGAAGCTGATCAAATATCGGGTTAAATATCGGTAGGGTGGAGATTGTCCGATATTCAGTTTTAAGGCCGATACAGGCCGATACCAATGGGGGCTGATTATATCATGCATCTCTATTTTTTTTTTCATATTGGAGACGGTTGAGCTTGTTCCCTGCAGAACTATACCAGCAAACACATTGGTGATAAAACAGGACATGATTTCAGTCATTTAGTTTTAGCAGCAGAACAAAATGTTTTACTGTGTTGAAGCTCACAAATATCATTAAATTCATTAAGTGAATTCAGGAAACAGTTAATCTGAATTAATGTGAAAACCAAATCAGACTAGAGATAAAAAATTAATTCAGGGTCAGAGAGCTGAGCTTAACTCATGTTTAAACGTTCTGCAAACTTTGATCCAAACAGTGATCTGTAAGGATAGCATATAAAAATAAATTTTAGCTCTTGGTTAATTAATTCTGCAAACTAACTCTGATCGGTTTGGATCATTTTAGTTGCAGCAATTTGAATTCATCATTTAACTTTAATGAGACTTTATTTAAACTTATTAATTTAAATGTATTAATGCCTTTATTAATTAGAAGGAAAAGCACAAAACTCAAAAACCTTGTGAGTAGAAATTATTCAGCCTAATTTTTAGTTCATCTCTAAGATGTTTGAAAGTGTGTTAATAAAATGAGCATAGATAATAGAAGTTAGAGAAAACTAAAGTGAGATTGTATTTACTGTCTTCTAGGTGTCCACATTGTCCAGTACATGTACGGCTGTGAGTGGGATGATGAGACTGGAGAGGTTACTGGCTTTAACCAGCATGGCTATGATGGGGAAGACTTTGTAGCATGGGATGTGGGGACAAACACTTGGATTGCTCCAAAACCACAGGCTGAAATTACTAAAAACAAATGGAATAACAAACCTAATCTGGCCTCCAGAAAGAACTACCTCTCTCAGATTTGTCCTGAGTGGCTGAAGAAGTATGTTAACTATGGAAGGAGCTCTCTGATGAGAACAGGTAGGAAACCTTTCCTGATTTTCTTTATATAAACTGATCATTTGAATTTTTGATTTTACTAGAAATGTCTGAAGGGAATTTTGTTTCACTACTATTTAAATGTGACTCAGTTTTGTTTGTGACTTTTATTCAGCTTTAAACATTTCAATCAGTCTGCTTTAACATTAATCCCCATACATTTTATATTTAAACTCTGATTGTCTCTGTCTTCAGATCTTCCCTCCATCTCTATTCTTCAGAAGTCTTCCTCCTCTCCAATCAGCTGCTTTGCTACAGGTTTCTACCCCAACAGAGCAGAAATGTTCTGGAGGAAAGATGGAGCAGAGATCCATGATGGTGTGGAGAAAGGAGAGATCCTCCCTAACAATGATGGAACCTTCCAGATGAACGTTGACCTGAACCTTCCATCATCTGTGGACTGGACAAGATATGAATGTGTGTTTCAGCTGTCTGGTGTTAATAGAGACGTCATCGCTCCTCTGGACAAAACAAAGATCAGGACTAATGAAGGTAAGACTTTATTGTTATTCATGGCTTTTAAAAGGTAAAACATGCCTCAATTTATATGTACATTGTTAAGGGTTGGTCGTTAAAGGAGGTATTGTTCACCTCCTATCTTCAGCCAGGTGAACTATACCTCCTTTAACGACCGACCCTTAACATTCATAGACAGGTTTCAGGTATTACAGGAGACAATCCCCCCCTTTTAACGACAACCTTCAGAATCATAGACAGGTTTCAGATATTACAGGAGACAATCCCCCCCTTTTAACGACAACCTTCAGAATCATAGACAGGTTTCAGATATTACAGGAGACAATCCCCCCCTTTTAACGACAACCTTCAGAATCATAGACAGGTTTCAGATATTACAGGAGACAATCCCCCCCTTTTAACGACAACCTTCAGAATCATAGACAGGTTTCAGATATTGCAGGAGACAATCCCCCCCTTTTAACGACAACCTTCAGAATCATAGACAGGTTTCAGATATTACAGGCTAAAAATGGAACCAAACGACCCATTCTTCGGTTTCCATTTGCATGTTTCCAAGCAATACAAGGCTTGGCTATATAAAGACTCAAACTCACTGCTGATCCAGACATTTGAATTGAGAAAGCTTCCTGGAGGGGAAGCGAAACATCTTCAAACCTTGGAAACCAAATCCAGTGGATTGTTTTTTAAACTTTTACGGAATGACTATGACCTGGATGACTGAGAATCTTCATCAGACAGCAAGACTTAAGTTCCTGATCCAGTTGGTGTATGTCCTTCCAAGTCCATCTAACCTATATAGCAGAAGCACCAACATGTCCACTGTGCCCGGCTCATGGTTCCCTGGAGCATATCCTGAGCTGCTGCCCTAAAGCGCTGGGAGAGGGAAGGTACATGCGGTGCCATAACCAGGTGTTGAAGGCAGTAGCAGAGACCATCTGCACTGGAATCCAGGAGTCAAAGCACCATTGTCCTTTGAGGCACAATATCTCCTTTGTCAGGGCAGGGGAGAAACCTGAGAGAGCAGATAAGGCCACAACTGGACTGCTATCCATGGCATTGTCAGTTGCATGTGGACCTTGGAAGGCAGCTAAAGTTCCCAGAACACATTGCAAGGACGTAACTGGGTCCAGATCTGGTCTTAACATTTGACTCTAAAAAGCAAGTTGTTCCTGGAGCTTACAGTGCCCTGGGAAGACCGGATGGAGGAGGCTCATGAAAGGAAGAAGGCGAAATATCTTGAGCTGATTGAAGCATGCAGAGGCCGTGGATGGAGGGCCCGCTGTGTGCCAATAGAAGTGGGCTGCAGAGCCACCAGAAATATCAGAGAGGCCGCTGAATAGAGCCTCAAGGTGGTTGTGGATCAAGACGGGAGACGCATCAAGTTGGGTCTCCCAGGCGAGGGTGTCTGAAGATCAGAGACCCGAAACACCATATGACCCTGGGTCCTTCACTGATGATGTGAAGATGCGTATGACAGCTGAAGATGCGTATTTTTCCCTCTAATCAGCAGGCTTACTCTGATAGGTGCAGACAGGGCAGGTTATCCCTGATTCAGAAATCCAAAACTTAATAATTTCTCTGCTTTTAGTTTCTCTGTTCTTAGTTTTTGAAGTTAATTGTTCTAAATGATTCTCATATTGGATAAAGTAAGTCATTCTATACATCCTTGTATTTACATTACACAAAATACACAAAATAATACTCACATGTTTTATGTTTATTAAAAGCTGAAGCCATTATGATATCTAATTTAATGTGCTACTTATCAGCTACCAACATCACAGGTACTGTAATGATTTATGGATAGATAGAAGATAAACCTTTGAACATTCCAAGCTGCTGTTGAATGTCCTTTACTGATGCACCTTCGTCATTCTCTTTCCTTCTTTTATTACTTGTGTCTCATTAAACTTTTGTTACCTCAGAGCCCAAAGGAAGTTTGAAAAATGAATACATGATCATTATCTGTTTTCTTCATATTTAAAGTATTTGGGAAATTTTTAGCTTAAAAAAAAAAGAAACTGTTCTCCTGTTTCTTATATTTTATGAAACAAAAAAACAACAAAATTTCATTATTAATAAACAGCAGAGCTTAGAAGCTGTCACCAGCATATTTTATCATAGTGGGCTGATAAACTCAAAAAAGTTGCCCTATTGATAAAAATTAACCTGTAGTGGCACTCCAGTTCCTTTAGTTTCTCCTTTACCACTTTGGAAATCAGTCCAACCACAGGTATTGAAATAGGAGCAAAACCAGATAATGAAAAACATATATATAGTTGTGGAATTAAAGCAGGAAGCCAAAAAATATGCATGATAAATTTCTATATTCTAGGCTTTTAACATTGTAAACAATGAATTATCATTTCAACAAAAAAATGTACCCATTTTTTTTAACCTTTTTACTAATATCAATAATTTCGACTCCAATTGGCTCTTACAAGACCCTATGACTGATATATAATTTTATTTTTCAGTGCATTATAGTACAGATGCTGGTTACCCAGAGACTTAGAATTAAAATGTAATTATGCTGATCCCCTGACTTAAGAGCATAAAGGCCACAGAAACGGTGCCTCCTAAACAAGGCTACCTATACAACATCATTAGCCCACTAATTTTAGGGGGAAAGAGGCTTATTATTAGTGTTATTTGTTGCTATGCTTACCTCCTCATAGCCCCTCTCCCAAAGAAATAAGCTGGTTAACCGGGATTTTCTAACCCCGGGTTGACTGGCTTACAATTGGGATGAAACATAGTGAAACTGGTTCTAACCTACTGCTGGAACGCTGCGTGGCCTCTGTCACTCCACCGCTGTGTCACTCTGGGTTAGCCTTGCTAATGTCACCATTGTGGCGGAAATCAGGAACTATAAAGCAACATGTAAGGGAGCAAGGGCATAGCAAGTGTGCAATATTGTTTTGAGAAAACATAGCTGCAACTTGAAGAGGTAGGTTTTTTTTCTTTTAGAATACCTGTCAGAGGAAAATTTTAACCTCAATGTTTAACATTACAGTGCTGCTGAAGACATTACATGCTTTGTGGCCAAAGTTCTTTTACCTATGAAACCTGTACTGGTTAGAACAGAAAAAAAAATAAATAATTAAGCTGTCTCCAAAGGAAGTAAAACATGAAGTTTTTTTTTTGTTTTCTTTTTAATCCATTGCAAGAGGAAACTTTAATGTTTCTTGACCAAGTTGCCAAATTAGATTTGGATGATTACACACAGGGACGAGATTTGATTTTTAAAGAATAATACATCATGGAATAAAACCCCTCTACTTACTGAAAGCCGACACATTCTGTAACATATGAAGAGAGAGAAACTCACATTTCAAACAATGCATAGGGCATCATTGATACGCCATTTTTAAGAAAGTAAAATTCCTGCTTATAACAATGTCTGTTCCTTTGCTGTTGTGCATAGAACTGCCACCAAAGAGCCACACCCAGAAAATTCCACTTCAGACAGGAAGTTCAGAAGGGCTTATAGTAAATGCCATTTTTAGAGCTTTTAGAAATGGAAAATAGTCAAGCTTTGTCTCCTCTCTAAAGCAAAGAATCATACTGTACCAGACCAGATCCTGTTTTTTGAAGGATTCCACTGACTATATTTGTTCAGCAGTGATGGGAGTAACGGCATTGAAAGTAACAGCGTTACTAACGCCGCTACCTTTTTTAGTAACGAGTAATCAAAATGATTATTCCTACCGTAACTATAACGCAGTTACAATTGCCGACACCCCGTTACTGCACGTTACTCAGGTCGCACAATTAACCTTTTTTCATGATAGGACTCGTGCGCGCGTCATGAGAGAGGGGAGGATGGAGAGTGAGGAGGACTCCAGCAGCAAAACAGCGCTTTCCAGATGGAAATACCGGTGTTACGTCGAGCTGCGTTTCCCCATCACATACGGTTTCCTCTGCATCTCCGCACAGCGCGGCGGCACGATTCACCACGCAAGCGACAGGAAACGCGCATGCTCGCTAAAGGCGCGTAACAGCCGCCCTGTGCTCGCGCCACAGGGGAACTACGGAGAGCGTGAACGATCAAATGTTAGCCTATATGGAGAAAGTGAGAAAGATGGATGGATGGATGGATGGATGGAATAGATAGATAGATATAGCTACATGTTGAAGTATCTATAACAACCCAAACACAGGATTTCAGAATTAGACATCCCCAGTTATTAATTTCATACACTCGCAAAAGTAACGCAATAGTTATTTTTACTAGTAACTAGTTACTTTTATTGTGGAGTAACTCAGTTACTAACTCAGTTATTTTTTGGAGAAGTAACTAGTAACTATAACTAATTACTTTTTCAAAGTAACGTGCCCAACACTGTTGTTCAGTGGCTGTTAGTGGCGTTTCTTTCATTGATACTTATTTTTGCACATTTGGAGAACAGGAGATAAAAATCAGCTTATTTTCGTTTCATTTGATTGATTATATGGGGCCCATAATGTTTCATTTTAAACATTGAGTATACATTTTATTGATAAGGTCCAGAGATTAAAAACAACTTGTGTAGCTGTAATTTGTATTGAATTTAAGTACCATTTTATTACAGCTTTTTAAAAAAACAACAACAAAAACTTAGCTAACATTTTCTGATAGCTAACATATTTTAATCGGTTTAAATAATTTTGTTTCAGGACTCCCCATTGGGATAATTATTGGGGTTGTTATTGCTGCACTTCTGGTTCTGGTTGCCATCATTGCTGGAGCTGTCTGGTGGAAGAAAAGAGATAACAGTGAGTAAACAACTTGTATACTATTTATTTTCACTGCGGTAATTATTATTGGTTGTTTTTTTGAGCAAACGTGACATTTTAAAACTTAATGCTGCATATCATTTAAATTCAAACATTTTATTTTTTTTCCTTTAAAAAAAAACAAACAAAAATAAGTTTGCTCCATTTTTGTTTTAAGGATTTAAACTAGCAAAGGGTCAGTATTCCAAATATATATTCTCATCCTGCTTTTTGGTATGTGATTAAGTTGCTCATGTAATGCTGTTAAAGCTGTCATCGTTCTCACCAACGTATTTTATCGTAGTGCGCCCATATGCTCAGAAAAGACGCTATATTGCTAAAAATTAACCTGTAGTAGCACACCAGCTCCTTTAGTTTCTCCTTTACCACTTTGGAAATCAGTCCAACAACAGGTATTGAAATAGGAGCAAAACCAGAAAGAAAAAAAAAAATGTAGTTGTTGAATTAAAGCAGGAAGCCTAAAAATATGCATTAAAACTTTAAATCTCTATATTCTATACTTTTAACATTACAGTGTTTGTAAACGATAAATGATCACTTTAACAAAAAAATTTATCAATTTTCTATTTTAACCTTTTTACTAATAATGATTTTGACTCCAATTGGCTCTTACAAGACCCTTTGACTGGCATATGAGCTTATTCTTCAGTGCATTTCAGTACAGATGCTGGTTACCCAAAAACTTAGAATTAAAATGTTATTGTGCTGATTGAATTATTGTTTTTTTGAAGTTATGGGGCTTTGGGTCCCCCGGCACTTGCCTCGGTGCTCTGGGGGCTGAGTCTTTGGCTCTTCACAACCACTATTGAGCATTTTTCCTTTGGATAAACTTTACATGCTCAAGCGCACCCTCACTATCAACTACAGGTGCTTGGTTCCAGGTACTAAGAGATTCAATTCCATACAGAAAGCCCATATTCTAATTTTCAGCTACCACAGTATACATTAGGGATGGAACGGTTTATGAAAACACCGTTCGGTTCGACTGTCTTGGTTCGGTTCGCGTGTGTTTCGTTCGGTTCATGCGCTGCTCCTTTTTCTCATAGGCGAAGCGTTTACACTCCAGAGCAGAAGGTGGCGGTACTGCGACCAAAGCCAACCACCAGTAGTAAACAAGAAGAAGAAGCGAAGCAGCGTAGCCGGGTGTAGCAGAAAAAAATCAGTTGTTGTGGAGAATTGTGTGGGTATGGCGAGTGGGAAAGAACAGGAGTTGGAAGACGCGCCAGCAGCACTTTATAGGTCTGCTGTATGGGAGCGCTTTGCATTTAGAGTGACCTACGATGACGGCGGAAAGAAAGTTGTGGATAAAAGTGCAACAGTGTGCAAGCATTGTGCAACACGTTTTGTTTATGCTAACAGCAACATGACCAACATGTCAGGCTAACCCCGAAATCCTACATACTCCGTCAGCGCTCCACCCCGCTGCGCTCCAGACCAGCTGCACAAAGCAAAGCCTACAGCCTCCACTGTGGCTCCCGTCCACTCCCCTCTGAGTTCCTTGGAGATGGTAGAGAGCATGCGCCAGATGATTAAATTCAAAGCAGCAAAACATTCGGAAATGATCCATGGTTTCCGCGGATCATTAAAAATAATTACTTTTCATTATTTTTGGGGGATTTTTTCATTAATTCAATTAAGTATTATGGGATTTCGGGGCAACAATCAACATATACCGAACCAAACCGAAAACCGCGTCAAGAAACCATGAACCAAACCGAACCGTGGATTTTGTGAACCGTTCCACCCCTAGTATACATGTGAGGTTTAATAATACCACTTATACTTCAGTGATAGTATCAAGGTGTTACTTTATTGTATCTGTTATGCTATAGCCATTGGTTGTGCTGTTCTTTTTACATCTCTTTGCATGTGATGAAGCAGATTGAAGATGAGTTTTATCATTGTCTCCCTTTTATCTCCTCTTTCTTTCATCTTTTTTCCTTATTCTTGTTTTTCCTTTCCTGTTCTTCTTAGATTGCAGTGTCCATATAATCTGAAATACTCCCTGCATGAATTATAATGAAGCTATTTATACGCATAAATCAAGTGGAACACTATGGCGATGGCCGTACTGCTCCAATTTGAAAGCAAAATCTATTGGGCACTTTTTTGGCATCAAGACAGTTATTCTTTTTGGGACTTTGTTAGACAGGATGCTGTAAAAAAAAAAAAAAAAAAAAACCTCAGCTGATGTCAAAGTTCGGTCTGGTTACTTGTCTTTTAGATTCACATTTAGGGGCTTATAGTAAATGACCTTTACCATTTTTTTTTTTTACTGGGGGGGGGGGACTCAAAGCATTTCGATTACATACTACTCCAGTTGTTTGTGCTTCTTTTAACCATCTGGCCTTAACTATAGAGATAGCTGGATAACATGAGCTAAGCTTTGTCATAGTCATAGACGTGTTAGGTAGTTCGTCTGACTTGTCTATGTTGAAAGCTTTAGGTAAACCTTAGTCAAGATGACTTGTAACTCAACATTGAATTTTTACATTCTTATTACAGTGGATAATAAAGATGAAAATAAAAATCAGAACCACAGTGGACAACTTTCCCAGGAAAACCTCTGAAATTGTCTGAAATTAGTCCTCTAGCCCTTGGTCTAGACTCTAGATGGAGCTAAATCAGCGTTCATTTGTCCTTCTGAACAACCACTGAGCACCAATTTAAGATCAGGATTAGATATTTATTTCACTAATATCAGTGGGTCATAGGTTATATGTATTCCTACTATGAACCTTTAAGCTTTTGTTAAATGACATGAAAATGATAAAATGTTTTTTTTTTTACTAAAGATGAAATTTTAACTTATATTTTTATTTTCTACATACAGACCTTATCAAGGCCTCAACATCATCTCTGTCTAGTGACGAATCAAAGGAAAGCATCACATCACACGATAGCCTAGACAGCACCTCATCAGGAAAACCTCTGCTACGTGGTAAAGTCCTGTTTTTGCGTCTTGTTTCTCTACTTTGTGTCCATGACTCAAACATTGATTAAACATAGAAACATTTTTTAGATAACATTTCTATTTCTCTAACTGTCTCAACAGAAAAATGACAACAAATGGGGACTCTGACATCGGAAGAATCCAAAAACCATCAGTTTTTTTCTAAGATCTCAGCATCTTATTAATGCATCAGATATTTGCCTTGAATTTATTTCTTTTTCCTTTTCAAATATTGCTTCATGCTACAGCTGCTGAAAGGGCTCGATTTATATTACTTTCAATATTCAACTAAACATTATTCAAGAAAATGTTTTTCCAAAATTTTGATGGTTTTCTTGCTATTGGTGCAGATTTTTGGTCAGAAAATATTGAGATTTTAAAAAATCAGAAGTCTCTATTAAGTGCTATTGGTAAGTGGTTCTCCTTTTATATCACATTCATAAATCTGGTAAATCTGTTATCATTTTTCATTATTTCATAACTGGTATAATGATTGTAAAAAGTTTTTTTGCTGATACTGAATGTGACTGTTTCATTTTTGGAGAGGGGTTACCTTTGATATTTTGGGATTTTTTGTTATTTGTTTATTTTCTATAACACAATTTTAAGTCAAATATGTGATTGATGAAACTAGATGTTGACTTTATAATCCATATATTGAATTTAATTAATTTTTTTAAGAAATGTTGTTAGAATTATAATCTCTCAACTTTTTTGTCGTTATGTTGTAATTTTCTTACTTTTTTTAATGGGTTTTATTGTATAATATATTGAATACTTGGGATTGCATTTATAATCAATAAAATACTACGCTATGTAAGCAACGCATGTTTTTTTAAACTGTCGGATAGAAAACAAGATTCTGCATCTGAGATAATTCATAAATAAAAAATTAGTAACACTGTAAAGAAATAGAAGTTAATACCCAAATGTTAAACAAAAGTCCTCTTGCTGAAATTCAGACTCTAAATAACAGAATATACCAATTTGCAGAACAATAAATGTATATGAAAATTGGACAGAATTAAGGAATTGTCTATATTACTGCTGAATGGTTAAACTGAAGAAAAAGTTATTAGCTTTAAAGCAGAAGCTTTACTCTTTCTCTCCATTCTCACAACTGCATGATAAACATTTTGTCTTAAGGAGTTTTTGAAAGTACAGCTGATAACCAGAAATAAAAACAATATTTAAATTTAATGTTATCTTTGTTGGATATCAGTAACTGAGTGGATTGAACATCTGATCAGACTTATCTAATATATAACTGCTGTAGTGTCAGAGTGAAGACAGTGTCCAAGTTTACTAATCTTGCAGTAATCTTTTTAATTCACCAGCTAGGTAAATAAATGATTATTGTCTACAAAGCAAACAAAAAAAAAATCTTAAACATGTCCCCTCATTTCTTTTATTATGATGTGGTAATGTAATTATCAGTAGGGGAGAAACAGGGGGAAACAGGTTTTATATTTGACTATTACCCACAGATGGTTTGGATCAGACTAACTACATTTTATAGAATAAAATAAGATCTGTGTCAACAATCATAACTAATTATAGCTGATTAAAAAGAGCACATCTTTCACAATTTCAGATTTTTTTTTCTTAATGCAGAGTCAGATGTTTCAATTGGCCTAATCAAAAAACCTGAAAACAGATTAACAAAAAACATGTCATTGTCTTACAAAGTAAAGTGATGATCCTACACTTAAAACTAGGAGCAGATTTCTAACTTGTTGCAAAACAAATGATCAGTAGAATGATTAATTGTTGAGGCTGTGCAAAGTGAAAGAGAAATGAGATAGTTGATAGAGAACCGATGTAAGAGACTAAAAACAAGCTCAGACTGATCCTTCCAAAGAGCAATTAGGTAAAAATGTAATCTAACCTGTTCACACGGTAATCAAGCAAACTGGCATCAGGTGAAAAATCTAGTCATGTCATTGGTAAGGAATTATTTTAAGGAGGAGTCAGATTCCAACGTGGAATTTAATAAAAGGATAATGGTGGGAAAGGAAACACTGCAGACTTTAAGAGACGTGCATCTTCCTGCAAACGAGACAATGATACACATTTTCTTTTGTATTTGCTGCTATTGTTACACTGCAAAATGTTTCACTGTAATTTTACAACAAATAATATGAAGGTTTTGCATGAATTGCACAGTAAGGATTTCACCTATATACTGTAAAACGTCCAGCAATATTACAATACGTTGTTATAAAAGCACAACTGCTAAAGCTTCATTGACAATAACAACATTTTACTATATTGTACTTTTACAGTATTGGGTAAGTAATGTACACCTTGACAGTAATTTACAATGTAAATTGTATATCATGCAAAATTTGATCAGCAATTTACTGAAGGTAATGCAAACTCATGGGCATGCGCACTGCTCATGTTCATGGACACGCCTACTACGGTACGGGGTTTCCTATCCCTTTCTTCAAGAGCACAGCCTTTTCCCCTCGCATTTGAGAAGATTGGCGGACATTGTGGTTTTATGTTTGTATCTGTTGATATAGTAGCCTTGTTGCACACATCATTGTTCCTGCTGGAACCACTATAGCCCAGACTGCCATTTACCACAGCGCACACACACGCACACACACACGCATGCATTCAGGTCTCCAACTCCTGAATAAGCAAACGCAAACACACGCACACGTGGAGAGGAAAGTGCAGTTCTCAAGAGGCTCTCAGGTTACTTTGCTCTGTGCAATTAAGATTATGTTGTTGATCATGGTTTTATACTGTATCTATTGATACAATGTTTGACTTGAAGCAATAAAAATGTTGTATTAACATAACTTTTTGTGTGTTGAATGATGGGTAGTGAAGACAACTGGTAGAACTAAAAAAAACTGAGTTGAAAGAACTCAAAATCTATATGTCAAACTCATAAAACAAAGTTGATAGAACTCAGAACTTAAAGGTGAAACTGAAAAACCTAAGTTGGCAGAACTCAAAAATCTTTGTAAACTCAACCACAGTGAATTTAAGTAAGGAAAACTCAAAAAACCAAATGCATCACGTTGCCTAGAAAATATAAGTTCTGTCAACCTCTATTTTTTTTTCAGTGCAATGATACCAGACAGTGATGGTTTACCAAAGGGAGCAGTATAATATTTCTGATTTTATCATTCTGTATATATCTGCTACAATACATTTTGTTCATAATATGTTGTATTTATATTGATGGGTATTTGTTCACCATTATCTTTGTTGAGGAAGGAAGGCTGACTTGTTCATTTATTGATCAACCATTTCCTGCTTCTTAGTTTTTAACATCTTTAATATGAAGCAACAAAATAACAACTCAAATTTCCAGCCCAATTTTATTTATTATGCACTTATATAAACAACCAGAGCTGACCAAAGTGCTGTACAGAAAAAAATAATAATAAAACAGTACACTTACAAGGCAAAACTAACCGAAAAGATAACATTCACACAACCCAATCAATAAAATTGGGTAAAAGATAAAAAAAAATTAAAGGATAAAATAAAATAAAACCCGCTGTCTTACTAGGTGTCAAAAGCCGAAGGTAAAAAAGGTGTTTTTTCTTACAAGAGGTTTAAAAACGGTCAGAGAAGAGGCCTGTCTGATGTGAGGCAGGTCATTCAAGAGCGCAAAGGAGAAAACACAGTCCACTTTGTGCTTTCACAATTAGGTAAGTGTATAAGAATATAGAAGCTCAGAGAGGTAGAAATGAATGAAAGTCAGTGTACATTTCTCAACTCGGGTTGCAATCATCTCTTGGGAAAAAGGAACTGTCTGTATTTCAAAACAAAAGTTGACCCATGCATCTAATTAAATTCAGGTTCAAGTCAAACTTTTACTAAAACATTTCACACAAAAAAGAAGATGCTGGTGGTCTGGAAGATAATGTGGAGGTGTGCCTTTTTTCTTTTTTTTTAAGGAGTTATCAACCCTAGTTCCTACAGATAAAGTGTGCAGAAAGTCTAGACAAAGAAACAAGATTGTCAAATTTATGCCGCCCTGCCGAGAACCGCATATAAACAAGAACTGCAACAAACCACATTCAGTCCATAACTTCAAGGGGAACCTTTCTGCCCCCTGGTGGAAAAAAAAAGAACCTCCTTCCCTCTGAGCTCCACAGATGATTTAAAGGAATAGTACACCCAAAACATGATTAGCCTTCATTTTCTACTCACCCCCATGCTGAACAACACTCTGGAGTACTTTTTTGATATCTCAAATGCATCTGGAGATCTGGGAGGCTTCTTGCTGTCTGCTGACATTCAAATAATGGAGGTCTATGGCGCCCGAGGCAGAAAGGTCCATAAAAGTCCACAAAAAACGTGTCAATATTCCTCCATACTGCTCGTCCAATGTATTCCAAGTGTCCTGAGTGGGTAGCATCCAGAATTTACTCGAAACGAAGTCATTTAGAATGTTTTTAGAGCATAAACAGTAGTGTATAGGATTTCCTGAAAGCGCGTTCACGACGCTACGAGGTATATATCCAGAAAATTATTTTACAGAAAATTACTGAATCATTACCTATGAAACGTCAGGGACGTTGCTGAATAAGTATACTGGAGAGTAACAGCATCATCACGCAGCATGTTATTGTTTTAGACAGGTCTGAGCATCCTGTACTCCAAAAACTGCAGTGATATTAGACAATTGTGTGTGTAGGATTAATTACCTGTCCAAGAGAAAACTGGCAACTTGAGCGTCACTTTGAAAACCTTTTTCCTCCATCAGTGACTTCCATCGTGTAAATGCCGTGCCAATGTTGATCCGTGTTTTTTGCCGTTTCTTGTCACGCTTGCGTTTATTCTCGTCGTGTTTCCGCTTCTTAGATGACGGGGGTTCGGTGTCCGCCGCTTTTCGTTGTGATACAGAGTAGGCATGATCCTCCATTCGTCTGATGCTTGGCCACACAGTGCCAAACAGTTTGCAAAGTCACTCACGCCTGCCGCCTTGTTCACCTTTCTTGTTACTGAAGCGCTGTATACCTGCTTCTTCTTCTTCTTCTTTGGTTTCAGGCAGACTAAATGCTTCTCAGGCATAATACTGCCATCTACTGTTCAGTACCGTCTCAGTTCATCTCTCTCAACTTGCCGTAGTTATTTTCGAGCGTCATGGGAGATCTCGCAATCGCTAGTTTGTTGCCTCTGCGCTGCCGTAGCGCAAAGATGTCAGCCTCCATGGCTGCGAGACCCGCTCCTATGTAATTATAAATAACGAATTCTAAGGCAACGCAAATATTATGGTTAAAAGGCTGAGCTCATAGGTGATGATAAATAACATAGTTATGTATAATATATTAAATTTCTGACTTTATATGCCTGTAATTATTACACACTGTAGCTTTAAGCCTTTATCCTTCTGCATCTCTGAGGCTGAGTCCAACCTCTGAACAGAGGAAACTAATCACAGATGTTTTGACCCAGAGTCACTTTTTCTTAACTTTCCAGCTTTTTAAAAGTTTTTACTTCTATGAATTAGAAGCTAGATAATCATGAGTACTGAGAGGTTAGAATGAAGAGAGTCTGAAACAGGATTTATGAGGCCTATATATGATTGATATAGGTCACAGAATATGGCTTAAAACAGATCTTCTACATGTTTGAGTTAAATAAACCTGATCTATTTTCCCCTGGTCTCCTAGTTTCTACATGGAGGTTAAAGATTTTAATTGCAAACACGACAGAAGCTGCAACTTTCAGTAAAAAGGCTCTACAGACTTTAAATGCCTTTAATACATTAATTTTCTTTTTCAATCTTTCTTATTTTTGTTGTATATTTTTTTCTCTTGCTATATTTTATATTTACTTATTTTCCCTTTTGCAAAGCAGTTGCTTATCTCTTTATTTCAAAATAAAAATAGCCAACATCCTTTTGTTCCCTTATATGTAAGATAAAAGCACAGCCCTAAATAAAGTTCTGAGAGAACAAGACCTCATTTCACATGAAAGAGGAAGGAAGTAAAGCAGATCTGAAAGTGACAGACAGCATGGCTAAAATGGCAGCTTTTATCTCTCTGATTCTAGTCGGAATATATCTACAGGAGGCTACGGCAGGTGAGATGGACAATTTAAAGATAAACATCAATGTTATTATAATCAGACTAAGTTCTTTAGTTCCTGTTGTTTTATTTATGATGCTTCCTGGTTGGAAATCCTGAGTGTAAAAACTAATGATATATATATATATATTTATTAAATATATTAATATATATATTTCAATCACACAAAGAAGTAGCTTTTACCTTTTTTTTTACTTTGTTATATATATTATTATCAGTATTATTATTAACATGATTTTTCTGAGTTATTATATCCAAAATGGCAGCATATATGCCCACAGCCGTGTTTTTACTCTGTATAATGGACGTTGCTGAGTTAATTTGATAGTTATCCCAAGATTTATTTTATACTGTGTGAAAATAGAGAGATAAAAAAACTCTAAAGAATAATGAACAATTAAATATTGAAGTGTATTTAACTTCTGTTTCTCTTCTCTTCCTGAGGAGAACCATGTGACTTGATTTAATTGTTTTTTTTTAGAAACTGATACTAAACTCTTCACCTGCATTTCCTGTACAAAGAGAAATTAGACACTGTTGTTGTTAATATTTACACATTAATGTGATGTGGTCACTTAAAAAAAATTAAGATCTGTGGACATAAATAAATGGGTCGATTTAACCTCTTAAAGCCCACCAAGTCGCTGGAGTTTTTATTTTTTTTTATTTTTACATTGGGCCCTTGATTTTATGTTATTACATCATGTTCTACTCACCAATTTGAGTTTTGTGTCATTTGGAGCCGTTCTGAAGATATTCCGTTAGGTTATATCCAAGTAACGTCTTCCTATGGGCAACGACTTGAAGGCACAAACTAAACTGTTCATAATTTATTCTTTATGGTACGCCAGCATTCATAACATGTAGGTGAGTCACTGTCCCCCAGACATCCGTGGTTATATTTTTTATATTTATATCTTGTAAAAACAAAGCGGCGCGTGTATGACATCATCCACGCGCGCCGGCTACCATTCATTCATCCTATCTGCTGAACTGCTGCTATTTTTCCTCACATGCCTGGAAGATGTCTAGTGCTACTACCACAGATGATCTCGCTCTCTAAATGGAATTGAAAGATTCAGATTAGCTAGAATGAATAGAGGGTAGAGCGTAGCCGCCTGTGGCCCGGGCTGCCTGTTACAGCTCCAGTCCAGGTCGTATATGACGTCATACATGCGCCCCTTTGTTTTAAAAAAATCTAAATATAAAAATATAACCGCGGATGTCTGGGGGACAGTGATTGGCCTACATGCTATGAATGCAGGCGTACCATAAGGAATACATTATGAACAGTGTAACAATGTAAAAAAATGGCGTTCCCCTTTAAGTGAGGGTAATAACTCAGAATGCATAAAATTCCACCGGTAAAATTCTTACCAGCAGGTGGAGCCATTGTGCGCAGCTCCAAGCTGACACCAAAAGTTCAAAGCCCCACAGCTCTGGAACTGTTATAGCTAGAGGTCTGAAATGTCCTGCATTTATGTTTGACATGATGTAGAACATGATGTAGAACAAATAAAACCTGCTTTTTCTCATGAGTCGTTATTACTGCTATTCAAAAAAGACCTATCATTTCCGAGAATAAAAAACAACAACTTTGAGTCATGTTTGAACTGATGCAGGTTGGTCTGTGTTCTAGTCACCCAATTTTAATTTCAAATGTATATAATCAGAAAAAAGAGTGTGTTAGCTTTCAAATAATGTATTGTACAGGTAATTTGGGCTTAGAGTTCATAAGTTATTTGCTTTTTCATTTCGGCATGCAAAATAGGTAAGAATGACCCAAAATGAGGTGGATATTAGGAGGTTAAACAAAATCCTTGATGAACTGCTGCATCGTGTGAAAATCAAGTTAGAGAGGTTTAGATTAGAATCTCTGCAGAATAATAAAACAAATTGAGACATTTATAAAAGAAATATGGAGTCAGATAGTTAAAAAGTTTTCTATCAGATGGTTCCTGTGTTATTTTAAGAAGGAGCTGCTGATTCCAGCTTCCTGTACCAGACATGGGCAATGTGGAGTCAACAAGTCATCTCCATGTCATGTATTGGTTCTACCCAGCCACTGAAGCATGTAAGTCCAATCTTCACCGTGAATTAACCTGTGCAGATTGGACTCACCTGGTTAATTGGCTGGGTAGATTAAATACATGACATGGAGATGACTTGTTGACATTGCCCATGTCTGTCCTGTACATCCTCCTTCTGATACACAGATCGTTTGTCCACCTCTCTAGACCTGCTGTAGGCCTCTAGGATGGAGAAGGGTTTGAAACTATTTAAAAATGCTTTTTGATGTTAATCCATTAGAGAACTACATACTTTTCTTAATTAATTAAAACATTTTACTTAAAAAGTTGTACTACTGAGTTCTGTACATGAAAAGAAGATAAATAATAGAAATGGAGTTTTGATATTCAGATTTCAGGATTTGAAATATATATCACAGTCATATATCACAGTCTTAAAGGTCTCAAAGGCTACTAAACAACAACCTTGACTAAATATTAAACATTTTAGATGTGTTTGGAAGTAAGATAATGGAGCTACAAGATTCAGAGAGTCAGTTTGATATGAATTTTAGACAAATTTATAATCATAAGTATGTAAAAATTTATTTTCTTAATTTTCTGTAGGTTATGAGTGATGATAGAGTGATGATGGTAAATCATTCATCTCTTTGCTTTTCCTAACAGTGATCCACTCTCTGAAGTATTTCTACACGGCATCTTCTGGAGTCCCAGACTTCCCTTCATACGTGTCTGTTGGGTTGGTGGATGATGTTCAGATCAGTTACTGTGACAGCAGGACCAACAAAAATATTCCTAAACAGGAATGGATGAAAGAAAATCCAAATTACTGGGAGGAGGAAACTAAGACATGTCTGGAAAAACAGCAAGTCTTCAAAGCCAATATGGAAATCGCTAAGCAACGATTCAACCAGACTGGAGGTTTGTTCAGATTCTCTTTCTACATATCAGTTAATTTGCATGTTTATAAATTAGAGTGACAAACTAATTATTGATTTTGTGGGAATATAAATATAAAATTGTGGTTTTTCAGTTTTGTTAAATATTTCTGCTTTTCTTCTATTGATCAGTTTATTACAGTAGAATAAATGTTCAGTGGGGAGAAATTAAAGGATAATATTTTAAAGTCACTACTATTAATCAAACTCTGTCTCTTTGTCTCAGGAGTTCACGTCTATCAGCAGATGTACGGCTGTGAGTGGGATGATGAGACTGGAGAGGTTAAAGGTTATGATCAGATTGGTTACGATGGAGAAGATTTTATTGCTCTGGACCTGCAGACACTGACATGGATCGCTCGAGTACAACAGGCTGTCATCACCAAAAACAAGTGGGATAATAATAGAGCTGCTATAGAGAATGAGCGGTTCTACTTCACTCAGATGTGTCCTGAGTGGCTGAAGAAGTATCTGAGCTATGGGAGGAGCTCTCTGATGAGAACAGGTATTACTAAACATCATGCATTTTAAAATAAACAGCTACATTTATGTTTGTTTTGTATAAATATCACTCAATCACAGTTTTCATGAAGTTATTGTTTCCTTACTGTTTTACTGTAATGTCATGTCAGTTACCAGTTTTAGTATGAGTTTCTGTATTATACCTCAGTTAGAATTAAAGCTTTGTCTGTTTAATAAAATCTATATTATGTTTATAAATCAGTTACAAGCAAATTGTGCCTACATTTATAAAAGAAAGATTTTTTATTTATTCTCCAGATTTTCCATCAGTCTCCATCCTCCAGAAGTCTTCCTCCTCTCCAATCAGCTGCTTTGCTACAGGTTTCTACCCCAACAGAGCAGAAATGTTCTGGAGTATAGATGGAGCAGAGATCCATCATGGTGTAAATAGAGGAGAGATCCTCCCTAACAATGATGGAACCTTCCAGATGAATGTAGACATAGATCTGTCCTCTGTTCCACCTGAAGACTGGACCAACTATGAATGTGTGTTTCAGCTCTTTGGTGTTAACGAAGACATCGTCCAGAGACTGGATAAACCAAAAAGGAACAATGAAGGTAAGCCTTTTTTTTTTTTTTTTAAAGCTGCAAACGTCCGTGCCTGATGACTTTTGTAGTTAACACTTATAAACTTCTCTCTGCTAGGATTGTTTTTTTTTTACACTTACATTTATTTTTAGGGTTTAAATTAAATAAGAAACAGCTTTATTGTGTCACAGTGTGGAAATTCAGATGTGACAGTTTTTTCTTTTTTTAATAACCATTCCGAAGACACTTCTAATCTGTTTTCTTAAAAACTTTATCTAATTCTGAATCATAAAATAAGAAGGTAAAACCACGAGAGTCTTGATTCTCCTCATACTTTCACTATGGAAAAGAGGGTTAAGGTTGAATTTATTACCACAAAGAAACAATAACTCTGATTTAAGACTACTGAATAACTTGGCCACATGGTAACGCCTTAATAAAATGTATAAACTACTAATAATATCTGCCCTGAGTTTCTCACATTTGCCATGCAAATCTCTAAATCAGTGGGGTCTAAATTCAGTCCTAATGGCTTCTATCTACAATGTTTAAACTGCATTTCAAAAAAGAAAAACAGCAACAGTGAATTACGAAGCTAAGCTGAGCGAAAAGGAAAAAGTAATTAGCAGCTTACTAGAAATGTATGGAGTAGAATGTACAATATCTGACTTTGAAATGTAGAAAAAATTACTGAAATAATGTAAAGATACTTAAAAATATTTAAGCACAGTAATCAAGTAAATAGTTCACTGATTTTTATTGAAATAACCACTGACAGTTTAAATAAAATAAAGAAATACACTAAAACTTCTTGTAGGTTTCAACATGTTCAGTGAAAGATAAACATAAAGAACAGAAACCAGAACATTTAAAAAGTTAACAAAACTAAATTATTTTGAAAAAATGGGATAAAAGAGCTGAACAAACTGTGACTCTACGTGAGACTGACCTGTTCTTTCCTCTCAACAGCCATAACCGCAGTAAATCAAACCTCTGGGATCGTCTATTCAATGGCTTTGAAAGCTGCTGTTCTTGGTCTCTGTGTTGTGTTCACATGCATTCTGTAGATGATGAAAAAAGGTGAGACTTAGATTTTATACTCCTTTTTTCTTTGTTTTTTTATTGTTGACTTTACCCAGTGAGAAGTAATTTTGATTTAAATGTTAAAGTTACATATAAACCTCCTTTAGACCTAATCAATGACATTTTGATGTGATACTGTGATTTACAGTAGACCTGAAGATTATCACCTAGTTTAAAACAAGAAAGACTTAATGGTCTAAATTTGGACTAAATTTAGATGCAGAATGATAAGAATCAATAAATCATGAAGAATGACACAAAACTTTAATCAAGTATTGATACATTTGCACGATTTTCGGCTGTTTTACTGTGTTGATGATGTTAGATTGTCAAAGCTTTTGGCGTCTTAAACATATTGAAACATTGAAAAGAAACTTACATTGTTTTTAGAACATTTTAGAACATTTTAGATCACCATTGTAGATCATAAGGAGTAGCCAAATATGGGACTGAAAACAAATTTATAAAATGTACCTTTAATTGCTGTTTTAAAGCAAAACCACCTAGAAGTTTAATAACTAAAATTATGAGGCTACAGTTAATAGAGGGAGCTCAGCCTACTGATGTTGATCAGGTTGTAAATGCGAAAACTTCTTAGCCAGAGATCTGTTAGTCAAAACAGTTTAGATAAAACAGATTGAAAAGCTAAATAAATTACATTTCTTAAGAGCTGCCATTAGGAAGGAAAAACCTCCAGAAACAAACATACCAGATGTTCACAGGAAGGTCAACACAATCATCTTATAACTAAATAAATACATAAAATAAATACAAACAGGAGCAACATATTAAATACCTAGCAATTTTTCTTTTACAGTAGTTAATCCTTGGTTAATTGGGAATTAATAATTAAAAAATGCATATTAATTTCACAAGCTGTATTGGGTTCTGTAGCTCATTTTACTTAATTAAATGTATTGTTTACAAGTTAATTCTTTGTCTTTTTGTCTCTTTAGGTCCTGAATACATTTTGTTCTGTAACAAGAAGAAGGTCCTGTTTTCTCTATTATTAATTACATTTAATTGTTTAAACATTATTGTACCACTTTACATTAAATGCTTTTATATAAAAAGGAGTGATGTTAAGATGATAAAAAAGATAATATCCCTTTTTTTCATTGTTTTGTAACCAATTTATATCGTAACTTTTCATCAGTACATAATTCTTCCAACCAGTGGAGTTTATCTGCAGTCAGACATATTTTATTCTCAGTTCATGTCTGGTTTCTGTGTTTTCTCCTGTTGAAATAGATAAATCAGGATTGATATAGACAAACTATTTTAACATTGACAGACTAAGCTTATAAACTTAATCCCAATCTGAAATGTGTCAGTAGAATGCTGTATATGATTTTGATTACAATGTTTGCTTGACATTAAAGGTTGGGAATCAGATGAAATAAAATGAAAAATACAACAATTGGATGAAAAACCTGGTTTAGATTGGCCTTTGATTTCTATTTTAGCTGCTAACTGAAACATTAATTGTTTATGCTAATGAAGATTCTCAGTCATCCAGGTCAAAGTCATTCCGTAAAAATTCAAAAAAAAAAATCCACTGGACTTGGTTTCCAAGATTTGAGGACGTTTCGCCACCTCTCCAGGAAGCTTTCTCAATTCAAATGTCTGGATCCGTAGTAAGTTTGAGTCTTTATACAGAAAAGCCTTCTATTGCTTGGAAACATGCAAATGGTAACCGATGAATGGGTCGTTTGGTTCCATTGTTAGCCTGTAATATCTGAAACCTGTCTATGATTCTGAGGGTCGGTCATTAAAGGGCGGGGGGGGGGGGGGGGGATTTGGTGATATCTGGAAGGGATCATGTCTATGACTGAATTGTAAGTTTTTGGAAGCTGGAATCTGAGTCCACCACCTCTGTTTAAAGTTGTTTTTTTGTCTCTTAACATAGATGGCTTCCTTCACGCCCCTCTCAAACCACCTATTTTCTTTATCCAGAATGTGAACATTCTGGTCCTCAAAAGAATGTCCTTTGTCCATCAGGTGTAGGTGTACTGCGGAGTCTTGTCCAGAGGCGGTCGCTCTTCTGTGTTGGGCCATGCGTCTGTGGAGAGGTTGTTTGGTGGTTGTTTGGTTTCTCCAATATAAAGATCAGAGCATTCCTCGCTGCACTGAACAGCATATACCACTCCGCTCATATTCGGTCTGGGGGTTTTATCTTTAGGATGCACTAGTCTCTGTTTAAGGGTTTGGTTTGGCTTGAAATGTACTGGGATCTTGTGTTTGGAGAAAATCCTCTTGAGCTTTTCAGACACTCCAGCAACATAAGGGATTGTGATGTTTTTGCGTTTAATTTCTCATCACTATCTTCTGTTGCGTGTCTTTTGGATTTCCTTGCTGATTTGATAAATGCCCAGTTTGGATATCCACAGGTTTGGAGAGCATCTTTGATGTGTTTCTGTTCTGTGTGCTTCCCATCTGTAAGGTTCTGATGACTGAGAGTTTGTGTTCCAGTGGGTGGTGTGAGTCTTTTTGACTATATGTGGCTTGTTGTTTAAAGTTACTTACATTCATTGGTCATTATTTTTGTTTTCTCCAGTCTTTCTGTGATGTTTCTATTGACTCCAGAGAACTGAAACACACATTCATAGTTGGTCCAGTCTTCAGGTGGAACAGAGGACAGATCTATGTCCAGAGTCATCTGGAAGGTTCCATCATTGTTAGGGAGGATATCTGCTCTACTATCATTGATCTCTGCTCCACTTATACTATCATTGATCCTTGCTCCATCTTTCCTCTACAACATTTCTGCTTATTTGGGGTAGAAAGCTGTAGCAAAGCAGCTGATTGGAGAAGAGGAAGACTTCTGGAGGAAGAAAACTGATGGAAGATCTGGAGAATAAATATAATAAACATTTACCAGTTGTTTTATTGCAATGGACAGAATAATGTTTGTTACTGATTTATAAACATAGTATAGATTTCAAAATACAGATACAGCTTGATGGGTTAATTTCGTCCAACATGGAATAAAAAATATATCCAACATAAAAATACAGTAAAATAATTTAACAAACATCATTTAAAGCACGTGATGTTTAGTAATACCTGTTCTCCTCCCATATCTCACATACTTCTTCAGCCACTCAGGACACGTCTGAGTTAAGTAGGTCTGCTCCTGGTTTGCAACATATCCGTCACTATCCCACCTGTTTTTGCTGATGACAGCCTGTGGTTTTGGAGCGATCCATGTCAGTGTCTCCAGGTCCAGAACAATGAAATCTTTTCCATTATAACCAATCTGATCATAACCTTTAACCTCTCCAGTCTCATCATCCCACTCACAGCCGTACATCTGCTGATAGACGTGAACTCCTGAGACAAAGAGACAGAGTTTGATCAACAGTAATGACTAGAATATGATCTATTAACGCAAACACTCCATCCCAAAAACGTGTATTTCACTGTAAATGTAAACAAAACCTACAAACAAACTGACAGATGCTTTTAGCAAAAAGACAAACTTGTAGGTTTTAGCTGGACAATGGCAACAAAAAAATAAAACATTTGTTGTTTTTTGTTCAAAATGTTAAATTAAATAGATATTTAGGCATCAATAGGAATATAAACTGTTTTAATGATCCATTTTATTAAATGAGGGGATGCTGAAAATGACTTTAATGCACTGAATTTTTTCTCATTAGATACAAACAAAATATTCTACAATCATAATCATTGTCATGGCTTTGTGCAAAAATATGTTACACTTAATCGTTGTTTCGCAATTTTTATGTTGGCTTTAAAGACTTGCTGTTTTCCCAGACATGTCTTAGTTTCCTCTTCCCAGTAATTTGGATTTTCTAAACTCATGTTATTCATCCATTCCTGTTTAGGAACGTTGTTCTGGGTTAAACTGTCACAGTAACTGATCTGAACATCATCCACCAACCCAACAGACACGTATGAAGGGAAGTTTGGGACTCCAGAAGATGCTGTGTAGAAATACCTCAGAGAGTGGATCACTGGGAGGAAAAGCAAAGAGCTGAATGATTAACCATCATTACTCTGTTATTTATCATATCTAACCTAAGACAAGAGGCAAAATTTGATTTTGACACAAAAAGATACTGAGCACATCTTCAGTGTTTGCATTTGTGATTATCTGTCTAAGAATCAATATAGGACTGTCTAATTTAGCAGCCTCATCTGCAAAAATTACATCTGGCCTTTCAACATGTTGAACATCACAGCTCAGTACTTATCAGTTCACTGTCTGTATTTATTTTTTTAATAGCTCCTTAGATCTGCTTTGAGTTTTAGAACAGAACCCCAAAACTCACCAACTTTAACCCATTTAATTTTATTTAATTATTCTTAAACCTTTGTTGAACCTACAGCAAGTTCTAGTATGAACAGCAAGTGTGTAAGTATGAAAATAGATCACTCTGAAAAACAGTTTTTTAATAAAATTGTTTTTCTTTGTTGGACTGGATTTCTTTCTGTGAGTTAGAGCTGACGTAGTCAAGTATCAAACTATTTTTTTTGCATGTTTTCCTTTTTTTTTTAATCATTCAATGTTACTACAAATATACCGTATATTAGTGATGGGTCCAGCAACACTGATGTCGTCACATGAGTTGAGCTCTTACAGCAAAACCCTGTCGGTGCGCCCACTGTTTTAAGAAAGTCCCTTTAAAAAAACTAAAAAAAAAACTTTATAAGAATATTTATAATATACAAAAAGAAATAAGTACAATTTTCAGTGAACAATCGCCAGGGGCTTGAACAAATATAGTAATTATAACTGAAAAATAACTAAATAAAAGTAAAAATAGTAATAGTAATAAAGTAAAGTAACACATAGAATCATGAAAAGGAATTATATAAAGACTTTGAATTTAGAGTGTAAAGATAAACTTTAATAGCTTTTTGTTATTGAAGGAGGACAACAACAAAAAAAGTTGTTGCTTCCTTTAAAAAATTGATACATGAGGGTTTAATCATAATAGTTTTACATTTGTGCAAATAAAACTTGGCAAGTGGCAAAAGATTACATGAGAAGAAATGGTCCGGAATGTTATTATTTTTCTTTTTATTTTCTGATTCCAAATAAAACATCCTTAAAATAAAGTTCAATTCTGTCATGCATATTGTCCAGAATGATGTGACAAATACCTTGCCATAGACACCTGGAGTACTCACAGGACTAAAAAAGGGTGAGAGACAGACTCTGAGCAAATGTTCAATCATGCGACCAATGCAGAAGCTGTTTTGAACTGAGTGATGTACTAAAATGTGTTTCTAAGCCTATCTGTCAACGCAACGCATCTACCTAAAAAAACAAACAAACAAAATCCCCCCCCCCCATAATTTTCTTGTTTTGTCAACCTGTTCCTCTCAGTTATCACTGAACTTATCTGAATTCAAATTGATTTCAAATTTAAAATAAATAAATAAATCCTAGTCCTCAATCATTCTTATTCACATGTTCACTTAAATAATCATGTTCACATTATTTATGGATTGTATTAAAAATATCAAACATCTTTTCAATTTAAACGAAGATATGAAATAAAACAACCAAGCAAAAAATGTCTTAAATCCTTTTATAGGTCATCAAATCAGTGTTTAGTCTGTCAGAGTTTGCCTGTAGTGATTTTAAATGTCCAGCAGGTGTCAGCATTCAATAACAATATCAACACAGTATCAATACAGTTCAAGAATCACTGATTACTTATAGTTTGGCAACGAGTAGAAATGCTTAAATGAGAAATTGCTCAATTTCTAAATCCATGGAAGTAACCGTTTTTTTTTTTTTTTTTTTTTTTTTTTTTTTTTTTTTTTTTGCAGGTAATTGTCCTGCATTGTATTATGTTATTTTGTATTAAACTTTTCTTGTTTGTGCATAGTGTATATATATATTAATAAATAATAAAAAAAAAATCTAAGTATGTCAGTGGCTGTATGTTCTGGAAAATTTCTAGATCAAATATTAATATTCTATAAATTTTAACCCCACTAAAATATTGAAATATCACGATATAAAAGTGGTATTTTTAAGTTCTACATATCTATGCGATAAACTAAATCAATAAATATATGAACTAATTAGAGCCCGTTTTATATGTTCTAGTAGAGAGCTTGTTGAACCAAATCCTCAGATAAACAGACTTATCCTAAATAAATTGCATTAAGTAAAATGATAAAATTTGTAACAGCAAAGCAATCCGAGACACTTTTTTTCATAAGTTAGATCTTTTTAGAGCAAACATACATTTCTATAACTCACCTGATATCACAGTTTGCATTTCCTGAAAATCCAGAAAAAATTATAGAATTCCCATTTCAGCCATTTCTGTCCACATCTTTATCGACTCAAAAAATGTCCACTGGTGAAGCTAGAGTCACTCTGCTCCACGCAGCTTCAACCTTTTTGAAGAGGAAGAGTTTGAAGCATATAAGCTCAGAAGTTCTCCCCAGTTATGCTCTTTTTTTCAATTAACTTTATTGAAAACAATCATGCAGCAGACAGGTACTCTGACATATAAGAAGACCTGAAGAAAAATAATGTAAACACATTATTATTTGACTTAAACAGTCAATTAGTATTAAGGAGTTCGTTTACTCTTTAAAGTCATTCAAACAAGTTCTCATGTTGAGAGAAATTTTGTAATATTTAAATTTGTTTATGTAAAATTTGCCATACATAATGAACAGTGTTCTGATAAACGTAACTATAATATCCACATGGACAAAATACAAAATTACACTTCTACAGTCAAATATGATGTTAAATCTTCATTTTAGACATTGTGTGCTGTTCAAATTCAGCACAGAAATTGATAGATCGGGCACAATGATTGAATAAAGGGCATACAAATTCTGGCATTTATTTTCAATATCAAAAAATTTAGAAAAATACAAATTTGTCACATTTACAGTGTGTAAAGTTTAGTTGGGAAGCTTTCTTATGTTACTGGAAATACAATACTTATAAGGCATCCATAATCATTCTCAAATGCATTCCTTCTTGGATTTATTCTTAATTTTTTATAAAAAATATTGTTGATATGTTTGTTTTTATATTCTGAATCCATTATGCCCTCATTAAAACATCGAAGAGGTGCCTAGAATTTCCTTCTTTCAAAAATTAGAAATCTCCTGTCCAGGATTGATGCTGAGAAACTAGTCCATGCATTTGTTACTTCAAAGCTGGACTATTGTAATTCTTTACTATCAGGAAGTCCACAAACTGTAGTTAAAAGCCTTCAGCTGATCCAAAATGCTGCAGCCAGAGTTCTGATGAAAATTAAAAAGAGAGATCATATCTCTCCTATCCTGGCTTCTCTTCATTGGCTTCCTGTTAAATCCGGAATAGAATTTAAAATCCTCCTTCTCACATATAGAGCCTTAAATGGCCAAGCTCCATCTGATATCAGAGATCTGATTGTTCCTTATGTTCCTAACAGAGCACTTCGCTCTCAATCTGCAGGTGTGCTAGTGGTTCCTAGAATTTCTAAAGCTAGAATGGGAGGCAGATCTTTTAGTTATCAGGCTCCTCTCCTGTGGAACCAACTACAAGTTTTATTCCATGAGGCAGACACCCTGTCTACTTTTAAGGCTAGGCTTAAAACTTTCCTTTTTGATAAAGCTTATAGTTACAGTGGCTCAGATTATAGGTATGCAGCAATAGGCTTAGACTGCTTGAGGACATAGGGACCCTTTTTCATCATTCATCATTCCATCTCTGTTCTCTCATTCTGCAGTATTTTTTAGTTCAACCTCTAAATTTATGCTCCCTCTGTGTTTTCTCATTGTAGTGCCTTCATCTGATCTGTGCCTGTTTGGCTGTGACTCCATCCTGGAGAGAATCAACGCTTTTGTTTATAGATTTTGGATCCTGGCCTGTTTTTCAGTGTAGTCCTGGCTGCTCACATTGAGCCTGGTTCTGCTGGAGGTTTCTTACTGTTAAAAGGGAGTTTTTCCTCTCCACTGTCGCTACAAGGATGCTTAGTGTGAGGGATTGCCTTTGAGTCATCAGTCGATACAATCAGCATGTTTTTCCCTAGATAAAAAACGTTGAACCAATCTGACTGTATAACCTGGTTGAATTGTAGTAGACGTAGCAGAAACAACTTTTACATTAAAACAAGAGAACAAGTTTTGAACTTAAGGAAATAGGTGCAGTTTCAATAGAAAATTGAAATATTAAAATAATAAAAAAATGCTAATAAATGTCTAAAAATAAAAACATAGAGCATGATTTAACATATTTTATATTAAACACTTTTGGATAATAATTAACTCAAAGGGACAAAGTTTACTTACAGTTTCATCAACACCTTCTGGGTATTTGATTAACCCAGTAGTAAATGACATGGCTGGCAGCTTTTTTTTTTTATTGGCTCAGAACAAACTCCAAGAACATCCAAGAACTTCTTATTTCTCTAGAAACAGACATTGAAAAACAACATCTGAAACCTACAATGAGGATATTAACCATAATTCTCCTGGTAATCCGAGGAACAGTGGCAGGTGAGAAAGAATTAAATTTTAGGATAAAGAATCAAGGTTAAGTGTAACTCAAACAATGTTTTGCCTTTTTGAATGTAAGGTCAGCTGAAGACGAAGGTGATAACACGAAGTTTTAGAGCCATAGACATTTTTGTTTTTAAAAAATTACGGGAATGAAATCATTACATTACAAGAATAAAGTCGTGATAATGTCAGAGTAAAGTTGTAAATCTTACAAGAAAGACTTGTATTTTCATTGTAAAAGAAGCTTTGATATAATTATTAAGATCAGCCGTAGCCTTGGCTAAATACATATGAACATTTTTATAATCAAAAGAGAGAATAAGATTTGACCACAAACTACTCAAATAGAGTAGTCGCCTGTTCAGCCAGGCCAATGATTTCAGAGACATAGACAGGCTATCAAAAGAAGCCACATGAACCCCAAACAACCCGTTAGTCCGTTTCAATTTGCATGTTTTCTAAGCAAAAATAAGGCTTTGTT